ATCCAGTCTGTCCTTAAACACCGCCAGGGAAGTGACTCCACCCCCTCCCTGGGCAGCCCATTCCAAGGGCTGATCATTCTCCATGGAAAGAATTCCTTCCTGATATCCAACCTAACCCTCTCCTGGCACAGCTGGAGGCCGAGCCCTCTTGTCCTACTGCTGGTTCCTGGGAGCAGAGCCCGATCCCACCCGGCTCCCCCCTCCTGGCAGGGAGTTGTGCAGAGGGATGAGGTCTCCTCTGAGCCTCCTCCTCTCCAGGCTCAGCCCCCCCCCGCTCCCTCAGCCTCTCCTCACGGGAATTGTGCTCCAGTCCCTTCCCAGCCTCATTGCCCTTCTCTGCACCTGCTCCAGCCCCTCCATGTCCTTCCTGAGCTGAGGGCCCAGAACTGGACACAGCACTCCAGGGGTGGCCTCACAGGGGCACAATCCCTTCCCTGCTCCTGCTGCCACCCTGATCCCGATCCAGACCAGGATCCATCGGCCCTCTTGGCCCCCTGGGCACACTCTGGCTCCCGTTCAGCTTCCTGGCCATCCCAACTCCCAGCTCCCCTCCTGCCTGGCTGCTCTCCAGCCCCTCTGGCCCAGCCGGGGGTTGTTGTGGCCAAAGGGCAGGACCCGGCCCTTGGCCTGGTGGAACCTCATCCCGCTGGAATCAGCCCATGGATCCAGCCTGTGCAGATCCCTCTGCAGAGCCCTCCTGCCTTCCAGCAGATCCACACTGCCCCCAGCTCGGTGTCACCTGCACATTTGCTGATGGTGGGACTCCATCCCCTCATCCAGGTCATCAGGAAAGACACGGAACAGGACTGGGCCCAGCACTGATCCCTGGGGACACCACTGGTGTCCGGATCCCAAATAGATCCAGCTCCATTCCCACCACTCTCCGGGCCCATCACTGATCCCTGGGGACACCACTGGTGCCCAGATCCCAATGGGATGCAGCTCCATTCCCACCACTCTCCAGGCTCAGCACTGATCCCTGGGGACACCACTGGTGCCTGGATCCCGACTGGATTCAGCTCCATTCCCACGACTCTCCAGGCCCAGCACTGATCCCTGGGGACACCACTGGTGCCCGGATCCCAAATGGATCCAGCTCCATTCCCACGACTCTCCAGGCCCAGC